CCAAGCATCGCTACGACCTGAGATTCTTTCCGACGCTGTGCGCGAGTGCCAATCCTCCTGTTATACACGTAGGGAACATAAGCTAGTTACGGTTGCTGCTACTTTCGCTGATTATCATTAGTGCCTTGTGAAAGCTGCTTATTAATAGCTTATAGCGTCGTACAAAATATTTCCGAACACAAACCTCCCATGACTCCAAAGTAAGCTGAGGTAGTTCCACCTCCTCCGGGCATTGAATATCCACCACCACCACCGCCGCCACCGCCACCACCACCTGCTGCAGCCGCTGGATCTAAACAGTGAAAGAGAGAGAAGAAAAGAAATTTACACTGGTCACTTATTTTGAAACAACTTTTGTCTTTCTCAAATCGCCCTAAAATAAATGAATGAACATCGTGAATGCATGTTGCCACAGTTATACGAGTATTTTTGGCGCTCCTCACCAGTGTGATACGGTTATCTTTATGCGTTTTTGCCGTGCAGCGCTACAGCACTTCTACAGCGAGCAATAACGACGACCCCGGTGCGCGTGTGTGTTTGTGTATGTGTCTGTATCTGCCCGGATATTTCAACTCGGCAACCAGCCAAGCTCCAGCGTCAAAGTTTTGCCAACGGGTGCCCCGGCCAAATGCCACCCCAGAACCGCGATACCAACTCTCACGCACTCCTGGGCCTAGCGTATGAAGGTTTTGGCGGGAAAACCGCTATCTCAGGAACCAGAAAAGCTGGGAAGCTGAAATTTTCAGGGGATGTTCCTAGCCCAAGCACAATTTAAAGATTTCAAATTCAGCCTCCAGTTACGCGTGGTGCTCAAGTACGGCCTCGTGAAAATTTTCGAGGGTAAAATTGCTGACTCAGCAACTGGAAAAGCTAGAAAGCTGAAATTTCGAAGGGATGTTCCCCATTCACGTAAAACTCGAAGATTTCAATTTTGAATGGTTCTCACATATGGCCTCGCAAAAATTTTTAGCAGGAAAATTGCTAACTCGGGATCCTGGAAGTCTGACAGGCAGGAATTTTACAGGGATGTTCTCAGCCCACTAGAACTCAAGAGTTTCATATTAAGCCCCCAGTTACGCGTGGTACTCATGCTTGTCCTCACGAAAGTTTCTAGTGGATAAATCGCTAACTCGGAAACCAAGAAAGCTAAAATTTTGACAGAATGTTCCCTTTTCAAGTGCCACATGGTAGTTGTACAATCAGCTTGCTGAAGTTCTAGGATCAGCATTTCACAAATTCTACCTATTGCAACTCCAAGCGGTCCTGCTACAGCACGAAATACTGCAAAAACGCATGAGCTCGCTAATGATTTCCATTAGGCGTAAGGGCAATTACTCGCTCTTATGCACTTGGGAAGCTGATCATTAGGCGATGTAGCAGCGATCAAAGCAACTTATAGTTCGAAGTGTAACTGATCATAGTACCACTGTAAAAGCTATCACATACGTGGTGCAACTCCGATAGCTGTTTTTGTTGGATCAATA